TCCATGCCATTCCTGGTTTTCCGGCGGGATCATTTGCGGTCCACATCGGCCGGATCATTTGGGGTTCGAAATCATTTGCGGTCCAATTTGGAGTCATTTCCGGTCTGGTGATCATTTGCGGTCGGGGGATCATTTGCGGTGCTCTACACGGGCTTCACAGCCTTCAACATAAGTAAATAAATTCTGAATAAACTAACGAAGCAGCGTTACTGGAGATTCCCTTTATTCCAGTCAAAAAGCTTTCGAAAGTTATCGCTGAATCATCTCGCCAAGCGTAAGAAGTTTCGCAAACTTTTCGAACAATCTTTTACTTTCGTGATGACCGATTCCACCTACGAATCTCTGCATTTCTTTGTCAAAGTACTTTTATTTTAATAAATACACTTTCTGCCTTTCACCTATAACCTTTTCCTTTCCTTTCTTAAAGCTTTCATATAGCTAAAAGTTTTTGCCGCTCTCTCGGTAAATATCTTGTGTGTAGCAGTGCCTGAGCTGTGCTTTCATTCTGTCAGCCACTGTGATTGGTTTGCCCCATATCTCATGAATTTGATGAGAATAAGCAACTTCATCACGAAAACACAATAAATTTCACTCTCTTTTCCATATTATTCTCATAGTTATTCCATAAAATCAATAGACCGCTCTCCTTAAACGGACCTGACCGGCACAATAAACCCAATTGGCGTGTTGGGAGAAAAAAAGCTTGTAAACCTTGGTAAATCGTGTTCTTCNGAAGAGCTTTTTACTACGGTAACCTGTCCGAAGAACTATTTATCCTGAGAATCATAGCTCTGTAGAATATGGTCAGTTATGACTTGTTTCTGTTTAGGTTAAAAATTGAAACCTCGGCGACAGGAACAAGCTCCATGCCATTCCTGGTTTTCCGGCGGGATCATTTGCGGTCCACATCGGGGATCATTTGCGGTTCGGAATCATTTGCGGTCCAATTTGGGATCATTTCCGGTCTGGTGATCATTTGCGGTCGGGGGATCATTTGCGGTGCTCTACACGGGCTTCACAGCCTTCAACATAAGTAAATAAATTCTGAATAAACTAACGAAGCAGCGTTACTGGAGATTCCCTTTATTCCAGTCAAAAAGCTTTCGAAAGTTATCGCTGATTCATCAAGTTTCGCAAACTTTTCGAGCAATCTTTTACTTTCGTGATGACCGATTCCACCTACGAATCCCTGCATTTCTTTGTCAAAGTACTTTTATATTAATAAATACACTTCCTGCCTTTCACCTATAACCTTTTCCTTTCATTTCTTAAAGCTTTCATATAGCTAAAAGTTTTTTCCGCTCTCTCGGTAAATATCTTGTGTGTAGCAGTGCCTGAGCTGTGCTTTCATTCTGTCAGCCGCTGTGATTGGTTTGCCCCGTATCTCATGAATTTGATGAGAATAAGCAACTTCATCACGAAAACACAATAAATTTCACTCTCTTTTCCATATTATTCTCATAGTTATTCCATAAAATCAATAGGCCGCTCTCCTTAAACGGACCTGGCCGGCACAATAAACCCAATTGGCGTGTTGGGAGAAAAAAGAGCTTGTAAACCTTGGTAAATCGTGTTCTTCCGCGTTAGTTTGTTGCGCCGGTAAACCCATAGAAAGAATGGTTCCTTGCTTAAGTGGAGCATTGGGTTAGTAGGTTTCAGAAGGAACTTATGCGCTCAACGCAGCAATGTACTCGGCTACTTCATCCTTCCAGCTGTATAAGGTGTGGACTAAAAGGAGCCCAAGATATTTGAAATCTTGTGACATTTTCTAAGAATATATTGCTGATGTCCATCACTATGTTTTCAACTACTGCGAGTTTCTGATGCGAGCCAACATGCACAATCTTAGTTTTATATAGGTAAAGTATTGGGAAATTGCCATTCATCCAGCCTATAACATAATTAAAGTGAGTCGTCAAGTGAGTTTGGATTACACTGACTGAGTTGATAGCAAAATAAACTACTGTATCTACATCACAGTTGCTTAAGTTGTGTATACAACTGTGATGATTATTCATGTCTTCACATCTTTCTCCTCAGTTCAAATATATAATATTTCTTATATTATCTTGCGGTATTTAACATATTTTGTGGATGGACTTTACCCGTTCAGTTTGCTTTCCACTTCCAAATTCGTTCTTATATTACGCCTTTTCAAAACTGGATCCTCTTCAAAAACCCTCTTGCTCAAAAATAAGCGGTTCAAAGCTTATTAGTTTAGCTGAACCCAATGTAGTTTTATAGTTTGAGATGCCCAAAGGGTACGATTTTTCAGTCAATTTGGTCAGAAATAGGGTATCGATTTTGGCCATTTTGTAAGTAAAAGCGGTATGGTTTTTGCACTCTTGTCTTTAATTGTTCCTTTTTTTTTACAAGAAGCTACTTTTCATCATTATCGATAGGATCATGAATGTAAGCCCTACATAAATCATGTTTTGGGCAACTATGCCGGCCGTAGTGGTCATAATTAGGGTATCGAATTTTTGGTCAGGTCACAAATAAGGTAGGGAAGATCAATCGTATATTGGCTATAGATGGGGTAAGGGCTTTAGGAAGGGGGCAGCACACCCCCACCCAATTTTTCTGGGAGTACCCCCAGGAATTGTATTCAAAAATATGTAGAAGCAAGCATAAAGACACGTCGTCAAATCATCACTCCTTTTATTTGTATTTGCTGATGACTCTCAACAGAAACAAAAACAGTGCGTACGTACAGTGTAACACAGAAGACATCAGCTGCTCTGCTGGTTTTCTTGAACCTCCGAGATTACGAACATATCTACAAGGGATACAGAAATGAAAAGTAGTTACAATAACTGCTATAAACAAACGTCTTTATAAGAACCGATTTATATATACAATGTGTATAAAACGACGTTGCATGGTACTATCAACTGAACAAGCACGCTCGCTCCTACGCCCTGACTTGAAAACTCCAGGGGACTTTCCTTTTAAAGTAACAAGTCCAGTACAGGGCGTGATGACATCATTACAAGAGTGTGTTTTGCCCACGGTACATAGCTAAGGGATATGCACGTGATTAAATCAAAGGTTATTGACATAAAATATATTTTCTCTATTGTGGACTTCTGAATAATTCTCGTCACCCAGAGCGGGTAAATACTTACGATCAAAAATGCTTTGATTTTGCCTGCTACTTACGAAAGCGCACAGATTGGTAATTTTGATTGGTAATATTGATTCAGTCACTCAATCATTCCTTTATTTGGTAATGCAGGTTTTATGAAAAGTAGCCTTCATTTGGTGTCCACTCTGTGTACATTATCCATTCCGAGAAGATAGGAACAGATAGTGTCCAAGGACAAATATAGAGCAATTTTTTAAAGTCAAGTGGAAGCTATTGTGTTTATTATCCTTCAAATATTTTTGGCAATGTGCAGAATCTGCTTGAAGATTTCAAAATAGGGGAATACCACTCCACTGGAGAATATTTCACTGTTGTAGCTGGAGCATTTAGTGATGCAATTAGACAAAGACATGCAAGCGACAATATTTGATGGATTAAATGGCACATATAGTGATAATTGAACCTATAGGCTGATGTGGACCTGTGAAGAGCAGGAGATGATTATAAAAGCAGTATAAATAAAAAGAGCTAATAGGCATAAAACTTGGTTAAATTGAAAATAATAATAATAAGAATAAATGTCTGATTGTCTTTACAGCATTTCTGCACTCTAACACTTAGCATTTGCTGCCATTTATTTTGAGTGCTGTGCTGCAATATCTATTTAGTGACATTTAGTGGAGGGTTGTTTTTTAGTTGGAATATAATGACAACTTAAAGGGATGAAAAGCCTACAATGCAACCTTGAAATTTTTGGAGGCTTAAGAAATAGGAGCCATTAACATGGCAAAGCAGGACAGTTGTAGCATCATTAGCCTGTTCCAAGCTTTCGGTCTCTTTCTTTACAAGAACCCGCTTGTTGCTCGGCCACTTTTTGCGATCGTGCCCACTAACCGAGAACCTGGAACAGGCTACAGCATCAATCAAGAAGTGGCATTGTACAGGAATAAGCCAAGTTATCAGGTTATGACAAAAGATAAATAAATCATACAGCAAAATTGATTTCACCATAACTGTAATTATATTTAAATGCTCTATATTTTTACACCAAAATTGTAAGTGGCAAGAAGAAATCCAAAAACAGCTTACTCAGGCTAACTCTAATTTGCACTTTGTTGTAAATATGAAATCACAACACTGAACACCACAATTGCAGTGGACAGCAATAAGTCAACAGTTGCAACGA